TAGTAAGGCCACCTTTTGCAATTGACTGATGGCGAATTTGTCAAAATCAAGGGTGTAAAAGTGGTGCGCCAGTTGTTTTGGGATTGCACCCAAGGTCCTATTACTATTGGTACTACCCTTGCTTGCCTTTGCCACAGTCATTCTATTTCTATTTGTAGGTCTTTGTATTTTGTTATCTTCTCCATTTCTTTCTCTTCTATTCTGCTGTCTCCAGGCACTGCCACATCCAGACCTTTTTGTCTTTCTTATTGACAACTGTTAAGTCCGGGATATTATATGGATGGTGCTTGTCTGTTTGAATTTTAAAGTCCCAGAGCAATTTAACATTTTCATTTTCTATGACTTTCTCTATTTTATGGTTCCACCAGTTCTTGCTTGCAGGCAAATGATATTTCTTGCAGATCTTCCAATGCACCATTGTTGCTACTTTGTCATGCTGCTGCTTGTAGTCAGTCTGTGCGATCTTCTTGCAGCAGCTTACCAGGTGGTCCACTGTTCCTTTAGCTTCTTTGCATAGGCGACACTATCTGTTGCTGTCTTCTCAATTTTGACTTTATATGCATTTGTCCTTAAGGCTTGGTCTTGTGCAGCCAGAATTAGTCCCTCGGTCTCTTTCTTCAACTTTCCTGCTCTTAGCCATTGCCAAGTCTTGTTATTATCTGCTTATTCTATTTCAGATAATGTTTTTCCATACAGCCTCAGATCATCCATGTAAAGGAGGTGGGATAGTCTGGGAGATGTTTTTGGCATTTGATAGCCATGGTCTGAGTTAGTCAGTATTGTTGACAGAGGAAACAGTGCAATGACAAATAGTAGTGGTGATAGTGAATCTCCTTGAAATATTCCTCTCTTTATATTAACCTCTCCCAGTCTTTTACCATTGATCTGCAGCTGTGTCTTCCATTATGCCATCAATCTTTGCACAAACTTTCTGATGTTTCTACTGACTCCTGTTATTTCTAGGCACTTGATTATCCGGTCATGTGGTAGAGAGTCGAATGCCTTTTTGTAGTCAATCCATGCCGCATTCAGGTTGGTCTTCCTTCTCTTGCAGTTTTCCAAGATCATTTTGTCTATTAGGAGTTGATCTTTTGTACTGACTGATTCATTCAGTTTCTCCACTGATGGATTGGTAGAAACGTTTCTGATTGGATTGAAATTGGAGGTTCTGCCTATAAGTTGCAATTCGAGCTTCGTATCTGCTGATATTCCTGGCTATAGCTGTTATTTGCTGCTTTATTATTTCCAGTGCTTCCTTTATCTTCCTTGTTTCTAAGTGGTATTTCTTGATTAGGTATTCTTTGGTCTTCTTGTTCTTCAGCTTCTTTTCTTTCATCTGTTCTAGCTTGCTTGTATCTGATCTTAACTTGCTGGTCTTATTTTCCAGTCTAACCTTCCATTTTTGTGGTGTATTGTTTGATTTTTTTTCTTCTTAATTGATTTTGCATCCCAGGTATTCAGTTATAATTGCAGCTGTGCTATACATTAGTTGGTTTGTTTGTTGCAATGAATTGGTGCTTATGCTTGATATTGCAGTATTTGCATCTTTTAATGCTTGTCTAGCTGTTTCTTTGTAACAAGCTTCAATGCAGGCAGCCTTATTCTGTTGTTTTTGTGCTGTTCTAGATGTTCAGTTATTCTTTGTTTCAATTCTTTTATTTCTTTAGTTAGAGGGTTTTGTTCTTCCTGAGGAAGAGGTGCCTGGTTTCTAAATGAAAATAGCTGTATATCTCTGCTGGATTCCTCTACTGCCCACCCACCTCCCCTTGGTTTGCCTCTACATTTTGAGTTATTTCTGGGAAGGCTTTGATTTCTTTGCCCTGGGTAAACCTTTGCAGTTCATCCAATTCTGTTCCTGTGAATACTTTATTTTGTATTACAAATCGACATTGATCTGCTAGTCTCTGTTCTGTTATTTCTGATTCTGGATGTTGTTCTTTCCAGAACTGGGGCATTCGTTTCAGATATCCTCTTCTTGTTGGATTTGATCTGTAATAACAGATTATTATTTCTTTGTTTTTGATCACTGTGTATTTGCGATGGGTAAAACAGTAGTTCTGCAGCTGCTGGCCCTAGATGCTCAGTCAACAGCCCTGTAGCCCATTTTTCACCAGATATTCAGGAACTCCAACATCTAGCGTGGATCTTGTTAAGCCAGGCAACATCCGAGCCGGTGCTTTCTGAAATTTATGTCTCACCATATTTTTTATGGGAGAGACACTCTTTGTCTGACTCCTCTGATGAGATCTGTTGAACCTCTGGCATAGCTCTCGTCCTCCTCAGAGTACACAAGCCCCACAACCATGTCAAGGTAGTGCCTCACTGGGGGTTATTATTACTATTGTTGTTGTTGTTTGTTTGTTATTTGGTCACCAAGATGTTCAGATTGGATTTGGCATTTTTAATATCTAGTCCTTCCCAAAGACCTGGGATAGGGAGATGTTGATGTTTGATGGTATTAAAGGTATCATCACAGGATATAAACTGTTCTGAATAAAGCTTCTTTTGCAATTGACTGATGGTGACCTTGTCAATGCCGATGGTATTCAAATGGTGCTCCAGTTATTTTGGGATTGCACCCAAGGCCCTATTACTATTGGTATTACCTTTGCTTTCTTCAGCCACAGTCATTCTATTTCTATTTGCAGGTCTTTTGTTATCTTCCCCAGTTCTTTCTATTCTATTCTGCTGTCTCCAGATACTGTGACACCCACTATTTATTATATATATATTATTATTATTGCAGTTCAAGTCATTTCACACATTATGCCATGGCAATTTATTCATTATTACATGGAAAAATCAGGCTGCTCTAGTGTAACCACCAAATGAACCCTTAACAATGAAATGTAACCCATCTTTGTTCTTCAACATGTTCTTGCCATCTTGTATTTGTCATTGATCAAAACCCAATATCTCTCTGTTCCAGTGACTGTTGGAGATAATTACCATGAGTGTTTCAACCATACCTTAGAAAATAAAACAATCAAATGATATCCTTATAGTGAATTCTTATGCTGACTTTGCAGTTTCCTGTGGAGCTGTAGGTTTCATAATTGACTAGTGGTTCCTTGCTCTTGAACCCCAGCCTTGAATCTTCCCTGCTTTCTGTTGAAGCAAGCATTATAACATCTGCCACCATTCCCCATGCTTTAATTACAGTAGGGAAGACAGTTATCATCTCTGCACAGTCCCTGATATATTTTTCTCATTCTGAAAAGCAAATGTAGTGAGCAAATGCTTGGGGAAAACTATGACTCTCCTGTGGGTCAGCTGAATGGATTTTCTATTTTCTTCCTTCCTCTGTTACCAACCACAGTTCACAAGTTTAGCAGTAAAACATTCGTACAGGTGCAAAACTGCTATGCGGAATAGGAGGGCAAAGCTAGTGGCTGAATGAAAGTGCCCTTTAATTGCATGAAAAGAGGGAAAAGAGGAAGAAAAAGAAAAGCCAGGCTCCTTCAAGGCAGCACAAAAATCACAGTCCTTGTGAGAATAATGATAGTGTTACCGTCATTAGGGATAATGGCAACTACGTGCTTACAGGGAGAGGAGACGCCGTATTTGTTCTACGGTTTTATTTCCTGGCTTTGTAAGTTTAACGTCAACTAGGAGTGATGCAGTTCAAAGGGGAGAGAGTAACCTTATTGTAGTCTTTTCATTTCACAGTTTTTTTAAAAAGAGTTTATCCAATTATACTTTACAGATAATAGGATTCATGTGCCTGACTTAGATATGATCAAAACTGTACACAATGTTAACAAGGTTATCCTGATATGTAGAGGAGAAGGAGAAAAAGGCTTTGTTTTTAATGACAGCAATTATTTTAATATAGGTTACATGTTATATTTAATAAAAGATAATCCTATGCATGTGATTTTTGAATCAATCTTCACAGCACCACTGACTCATTTCTACACTGATGATGCAAGGACCAGAGTCACTGTGTGAACATTTGTATGGAATTTATGTTAGGAAGCATTATTGCATAAAGTACAGCAGATTACTCTCATGGAGTTCTGGGCCAATCACAGTGTTAGAAGGTTGCCTAGCATTTGTTTGTTTAATGTTTTGCTTTAGTAAAGGAAATACCAAAAACAATGAGCTAATTCCTAGTTATAAATTCCAACTGAAAAAGTCAACACTATGTAAATTACGGAACCTCAAAGAGGAACAAAAGTCAAAAGTTCAATTTTTAATTCAGTATTTTATTAAATTCCACTCCCCCTCATGGCTTTCTTCCAGTCTGTTGTTTCAAGAATAATCAAAGATATAGCAGTTATCCCAAGACATGAATGTTTCTTCATTTCTTACCTAGGGCTAAGAGATTATCAAACTATACATCAAATATGATCCTCCTTTTTTTGCAAATTTCTCTATTCCATATCTCTTGGAAGTTCTCCATAGAGTTCCATCATGTAGGTTTTATTGATAATATTATATAATTGACTTACAATAGTTTGGAAACTTTGGTTAAAGCTAAGCATAGATAACTGTAATGTAGGTGCAATATTTGCATCAAGGCCAAGTAAAAAATGATATTATGTGAGAAGGAAAGAGAAATATAACCATTGCCAAAAGTTATGAGTAATGAGTCTGATGGTAGCTTGGAGCCGGGATTTGAATTCCTAATCATAAATTCTCTGGAGACTTACACCTTTTGTCACCTAGAAGTCCTTAGAATGGAAGATAGGAGATGCAATACAAATCTACAAAACATTATCTAACCCAGTCACAGGAATTATTCACCTCATTCACAAGAACCATCACTAATGCTAGGCTAAGACTACAGATCTGACAGACATGTACATGTGCATTAAACAGCTCTTGTTTTAAATGAAATGTGAGTTACATGCAGTTACCTGGATTATTCAGCAATTGATTACCACTTCTATAGATTTGGCAAGAACAGACTACAGGTATAATGTATTCAATCAGTTTTCCTGTAGGGTTTTTCTTTTAAATTCCTTTTATAATTAATATATGTGTATTTTATAAAGGATAACTGAATTAGTTGGATATCACCCTGAGGAACTGCTGGGCCGTTCTGCGTATGAATTCTATCATGCACTGGATTCTGAGAATATGACCAAAAGTCATCAAAACTGTAAGTCACCCTCAAAAATTATAATTATTAGGTGAAGTGTGAGTTAAACATGACTCCAGTCAGCCAGAACAACAACAATGATGATGATGATGATGATGACGATAATGATGATGATGAAGAAGAAGAAGAATAACACTTAGACATGTGTTTCACAGAAGCTTGCATGTCAGGGACCTCAGTTAGAAGTGTATTTTTACAGACATCTGTATAGAAGACTACCTGTATATCTCCAATTCCCTGTAAATGGTGTGATTTGGAAAATAATGTTGAGAACCAGTCCTTTCCTAAAGTGACCATATTATTTAAGAAAATAGAAAGCTGGAAGGGCCATTTTTTTAATAATTTGTGCATTACCGTTGTCATTAAAATCAGGTGATAATACAAAGAGACTCCTTGCATATGGGCAGGATTAAACAAATGCCTGTTTCCTTTTTATTTGAGGGGGAGAAGTTTTAGATGTTAAACACCTATTTTATCTATAAGCAAAAAATTATCAGTGCAATCAGAGGGAACCCCTGGTGAGGGATATGTTTAAATTGATAGGGGAGCTTCATGTGACTCTGAGGCCACATTATCCATTTCTGAATTCAACTGTTTTGTCATTGCAAATAACAGTAAATACATGTATCCCTGGATAATATTGCAAGATCCAATCTGGGCAATCACTGAGACCAAAGGTTTATCCTTCAAAGCTTTCTTACCAATGACCTGAACTAGTGATAGCCTCACATTGCAATGAACAAGGACATTGCATTCAATTTTGCAGCTACTGTGATTGTTGGCTGAGTAGGGACAAAAACAGCCAGAGAAATTATTGAAGCCGGGGAAACAGCCCCTTGTCAGTCAATAGGAGTGCTGTTTTACCTCCTGCCTATCAGGTACTTAGGAGTTGATGCAGTGGTACAAGGCAAAACATAGCCAGCCATCAATACACTAATGAACAACTAAAAGCTGCACACAACAGGAAACATATAAATATAACACAGAATAATCCAGTGAACATATTCTGGAGAGAAAGAAGTTCCCTGATGATGGGCTCCAACATGAGCCAAAAGCTTGGAAGAATAAATCTTTGGTCCCAGTGAGTGACCCAGACTAGATCCTGTTTCATCATTCATCATAGACAGACTTATCTATACATATGCAGATATGCCACCATTCATGGCATAGGGCCAGATTATTTCTGCCTACTCTATTAAATTGGGCAGTGGTGCATTTCAGGTCCTTGGCTCAAACAATATCATCTAACAGGGCCAAGTAGCGTGCTTTCTCAGTAATTGTGCTGCCCTTTGGAATGAGATACTGTATCCCTAGACATCCATTGGCTGACACCCTGATAATGTTCAGGGAGTCCTTAAAAATTTGTTGTTCCAAGTATCCAATAGGATACTTGTGGAGACCCTGTTGGTTATGTTTTAAGTTACAGGGAATATGTTTGTCTGGATATGTAGGATTTCTATTGTTAGCCCCTAAGCATCATTTTGTACTCAGGTTTCCTCAAAATATCATAAATAAATAGATAGATAAATGCTCTTGCTAACTGAGACGAACACTACAATATGCCTGTGAGTCTTTAAAGTATCACAAGAGTTATTGCTGGTTTTCGTTTGTAACTGGAAAGTTAGTTTTTCTCAAGCAGAAAATAAATAAACAAAAGCCTACCTTGATGTCATTAAAGTAAGAATGGCATTTGATAATTGTTATAAATGCTAACAGGAAATGGGTAAACGGATTTACCCATATTAGGTTATTGGGATTTGGGAGTGGGTTTTGGGGAAGCAATTTATAATGAAGGGAAAGGAAAAAGTGGAGGATTTTATGAAACTACAAATAAACAAATAGCTATGTGAAAATGTTGCAGGAAAAGCAATCTGAAGAATTCACATATGGGTACCAGTCTGATGATCAATACATTTGTCAGAAACAAAAATAAAGGGGTTACTTATGTCACTGAATCCAGTCCCCTGCTCAGTGTTTTGGTAGAGGCATGATGGCTCAGTGACTTAAATGAGGTTTGAGTCCTAGCACTGTGTGGTGGGTGAGCTCCCATCACTCGTCTTAGCTTCTATTCACCTAACAGTTCAAAAGCATGTTCTGTGCAAGTAGATAAATTAGGCACCACTTCAATGGGGAGACGAATTGATGCCTCATGCAGTCAGTCAGATTCCTGCTGGCTCTGAATCTTTCCGGTTGTAGCACCCATTTGCAAGACAGGTCTGGAGAAAGGTGTGGGCCTTCGATGACGCTGCAGGAGAGCTGCTCATCTGTTTCTCTGGTGCAAAGCCAGCTTGGTCTCCTGTAGTGCACCTTGGGAAGCGCATGAGCGTATTCTACAATGGTGCTGGTAAATTGGCAGCCAAACTACTACATTGTGGTTTCCTGGCTAGTGCAATAACACCATATGATGATGATGATGATGATGATGATGATGATGATGATGATGATGATAATAATAATAATAATAATAATAATAATAATAATAATAATAGTAATAATAATAATAATAGTGCTTTAGTGGGAAATATTGGAGACCCTTTGAAAGATGTCTGTCTGCCAAGGTTCAGAGAGCTGCACAAGGCACCAGAAGGCCAACTATGGATGGCCATGTTTTAGAGGTCTATAGTGACTTGTGCAACCACACTGCATAAACTCTTACAGCTTTCCTTTCTTAATGCTTGTATATTTAGAACAACAAAAAATTAACCGCACTTTCCTATGTATGATTCAGGAGTTTATTAACCCTCAGATAAATGAAAGCAGAATTGCAACTTGTTCTATTTTTATTGCTGTCCATCCTCTTGTCTCTTAGTTCCTTTCACATTGTTTCTCACTGTAGCTTGTTACATAATATCTAAAAATGGATGCTAATTATAGTTACCTATACATTGTTACTGCAAAATGGACTCTCAGTTTTCCTATGGCTTTATGCTAAGCAAAGAACAAGCATTAAGCTAAGTAGAGGAAAAGATTATGTACTGAAAATGAGATATGAACATACAGTACATTCATGGGGGGGGGGTCTTACTGGTTTTCTTAAATAAGAGTTTTGTGACTGGTCATACACTTCATGGCAGCCTTTTTAGGAGAATACCCATGATACTTCATAAATTTTCTAAGGGTTGGAGACTCCTGTTGTAGGCAAACATAAAAAAGTAAGTGCCAATTCTAGTTTCAAAAGTGCTTGTACAATGTGCTGGCATTGCTATTTTTACTGGAGAATAAGACACATTTTGTTTGATTGTTTTAAAAAAAGAGATACAGCTGTTTTAATGACCAAGAATAATAAAATAAGTGAGTAAAGACCCCATTTCAAATTTTCAAAAAATTATTTGGAGTTATCAAGTGCAAGTCTAAAATAGTATTAGATATGTTCACTGCCTTGAGCTATTAATAGAAATAATAAAGATGGGATAAAAAATAATTAATTAATTAATTTAATTTGGCACCAAACTAGGAGACAATGAATTCTAATCCCACTTTAGGCATGTGGCTTTGACTAGTCCCTCTCTCTCAGCCCAACCCACCTCACAGGAGTTTTGTTGTGGGGAAAATAGGAAGGTGGAATAGTATGTGTGTTTGCCACCTTGAATTATTTATAAACATAATCAAGGTGGGGAGAAAATAAATTAATAATAAATAAATTTACATTTTATTGAATATGTGATATGGGGAAAGAGAAAGGGAATCTTTTCTTTTATATGTACTCATTCTATAGAATCATCCAAACAGTATTAATACCAATACTAATTTTAATTTCAATTTTTAGTCTGTCGTAATCCCACTGAATTTTATCATTCATTTTGGTTGCCAGTCTTTTTAAAACAAAAAACAAAAAACCTAGCCTATATGTATTCATGTCATTTGGAACAACTGTAATCTTTTAAGTTAGGAAATTCAACTTTATGCAGATGGAAAATATCTGCTTTTTTAATTATAAAAATCACATTCTTTAATATGAAGTAAAAGATGGGGGGAAATGTTCTAAAACAATAGAGTAGGAAATTGTTATGACAATAGTCTTGGAAAATTTGGAATATTGAAAGAGAAAGAGCATCAGGAATATTGGTTTTGTAATACATCATGTTGTTGTTGTTGTTGTTAATTGCAAAGTCGTGTCCAACCCATCGCGACCCCATGGACAATGTTCCTCCAGGTCTTCCTGTCCTCTAACATCTTCTGGAGTCTATTTAAGTTCACACTTACTGCTTCAGTGACTCCATCCAGCCATCTCATTCTCTGTCGTCCCCTTCTTCTATTGCCCTCAATCTTTCCCAGCATTAGGCCCTTTTCCAGTGAGTCCTTCCTTAGGTGGCCAAAGTATTTGAGTTTCAACTTCAGGATCTGGCCTTCTAAAGAGCAGTCGGGGTTGATCTCTTCTAGGACTGACCGGTTTGAACGCCTTGCAGTCCAAGGGACTCGCAGGAGTCTTCTCCAGCACCATAGTTCAAAGGCCTGGTACATCATGTGCCATGCAAATAGTCCAAATCATAGACAAGGGACAAAGTGGTAATGTAGTATGCTCTGAATTGTTATGAAGCTGCTAGATAATTCAGATTTAAAGGAGCCCTGCTTTGACTTGGTATTGTATCATTCCAATTAGCTTGATTTAGGACATGGCTTAATATAAAGCATGTTCCTGCTTCCTGGTTTATGGTAACCACTTCTGAATTTAACAATAGCATCACAGACTAGACTTCTTCCAGAAATTCAGCTATTTATAACTACAGTTCATTGTGAAAACTTGAATCAGAGGAGGGGTGGGAAATAACATTCTAAATTCAGTATGTTAGGGCAGTATCCTTAATAAGCCAACTCATAGTGTACAAGATTTCCAGTTATCAAAACTCCAGACAAGACTGTAAACTAGTCAAAAGGCATTGGGGAGGGAAAAAGAGCTTGTATTAAAAACATGAAGTCTGCATTTAACTATAATCTAAAATGAATTATTGAAGGGAACTGCAAACTTTTCAGTCCTTTTAATAAAATCAAGTTAGTTGAAAAGATGCTCTCAGACCCCATTTCACAGTTCACTCCTAACTGCAAATTAATAGGATTATTTTTTTAGCTTGTTTATAATTTACCAGAAATTGCAAGTGAGCAATGAAAGAGCAAATTTGCTGCCAAAACCAATTTATTAAAGGTGGCTAGTAGCATGTGCAGATTGTATGGAAAACTGTCCAGTGATGTGTTTTCTTTTTTGTAGTGATCAGCTAGCAGTCACTCTTCAGTTGGCCCAAAATGAAAGAATTATTTATCCACCATTAGATATCATTCTCCCCTAACACATCTGTAACAGCAACTTGTTGTATCAGAACATGGTGTGACTTGTTTTCTTTTAAAGATGAAAGCACTAAACCTCTTCTGAATAATGTAACAGGCACATCACATGATCATGCCTTAATGAGATCTCTATTAAGAATCCCATGTAATAATGTTTCACAGACATACAGAAGCCATTTGCTTAAATGGTTTTTAGACAAAATCTTTGACTTTTTTTGTTTATGCACCTCACTAATCTAATAATCAAAATATAATCTCTTTAAGAGCAAGATTACTCTGAATGCAGAACTTCACCAATAAAGGGATGCAATAAAATCATTAGAGGTGTGCTTTGTAGATTATACATAAACAAAGGATTTAGTATGGCTATTTGTTCACCTTGTTCACCTTATTCTTCCATTTTTACCACAACAATAACATTGTAAGTAGGCTGAGCTGAGAGACAGATTGGCCCATAAACATCCAATCAGTTTCCTGAGCTAAGGGCAGGCCCAAATCTGGGTTTTCCCCTTTCTAGTTCTAGAATTTCCATCACAACACCACATTGGTATGAATTATAATAATAAAATGTGATGAATATCTACTCAGAAGCAAATCCCAAAATTAGAATCTCTCAGACTTTCCATTTGCAAAATTGTGCAAAGTATTTTGGAAGCTGGTTTTTAAATCAGGCAAGAATTTTGCAGTCTTTATAATGTCAAGGTGGGAGGGAGGGATATCTAATTACTAATGGGGGGGCAGGACTCTGGTCCTTCTTCAAAGCAAAGTTTGCTTGCTTGGCTATTTTATATATCAGGTTTCTGTTGTAATACTTCCCAATATGATTTGGAATGAAGACAAATTAAAACTATTCATGATAAAAATAATAAATCAAATCAATATTATTTACAATATTTACAAACCCATCTAGCAACCATCATTGTTTTTCTTGCCTTTGTTGTTCTTTTGAGGTTTGTTTAGCCTATCATTAGTTGTAACTATGGGAAATAGAGTATTCTATTGGTCCAATAAGTGCCTAAATTCTCATCTAAATCAGAATTAAGCCAGTTTCAAGGCTAGGGAAAGTGACAACCCAGGAAATCCATTGCTGGAAACTGCCTCTGATCTCAAGAAGGGAATCAGATGAATTCTGTGATCCCTGGGAAACTGCCACAGAGATCACACTGAAGTACACAAATCCAAAAAGACTTGGCTTCTGCCAGATAGAAATAGAAATGCCAATGGGAGTAATGGAGATGGCTGATTTCTCTCATCAGTTTTCTCCTCTCTTAAAAGATGCACCAATGGAAAAGGAAGGTCAATAAGAAGCTTGCAAGGGTTGAGAACTGAAGTGGGCCCTTACATTGTCTTGAATTAATACTTTAATAGGTCTGTGATGCCACACATTTCTGATATTTTTAAAGGTGCCATAATACTGAAAAATGATATTGCCATGTATCATGTTTCTCTTTCCTTCTCTATCTCCAGTGTGTGGGAAAGGTCAAGTGGTTACAGGGCAGTATCGCATGCTTGCCAAGCATGGTGGCTACGTGTGGCTTGAGACCCAAGGAACAGTCATCTACAATACTCGGAACTTGCAGCCTCAGTGCATAATTTGCATTAATTATGTTCTAAGGTAAGATAGCTGAAACCCTGAAGAATGCTAGCTAAATGAGAATTGTTGGAGAAGCAATACAATCTGGGCATTTTTTCTTGTTTCTGTAGGAGATCTCAAAGATGCTATTTCAAAAGGCAACTGGACTTTGTTTTTCTTTGAGGAAGACGTTTCACTTCTCATCCAAAAAGCATCTTCACTTCTGGCTGAATGATGGAAACTGAACTGAACTGAAAGAAGTTTCTTGGTGAGAAGTGTAATTTCTTCCTCAAGGAAAAAACGAAGTCTAGTTGCCTGGATGACTGAGAATCTCCATAGACACTTTTTATGAAGCTGTGGAATGCAAATCCCTCAAATAACAGGGCAAGTATAGAGTGGGGAAACTGGCCCTGCAGATTCTCTTGGAGCATTCATTCCTATTAATCCCAGTTAGCACCAAAGATAGCTGTAAGCCAACAATATCTAGTTGTCCACAGATCTTTGGTTAACACTCTTATTGTTATCCTTTGTATTTACATGAATACTGTCTTCCATAATAATAAGATATCTAATACTTTATCTTGTTAGTGAAATAGAGAACAATGAAATTGTATTCTCCATGGATCAGACAGAATCACTTTTTAAGCCTCATATGATGTCCATGAACTCTATATATGACCATGGAATTCCAGTGGCTGATAAGAGTGACTTCTTATTTACCAAGCTGAAGGAAGAACCAGAAGAACTTGCCCAGTTGGCACCCACACCAGGCGATGCAATTATTTCTCTTGACTTTGGTTAGTAATATTTTGGGAAGAGTAAGTGGTGAACATCATGTTGTATTTGTACAGTAGTTAACCACAAGAGAGCTAGTAGATTGTAGCATCTCCCACAAAATATCATATAAACACAGTGATAGATGATGAATGGATGGATGGATAGATAATTATTATGTTTCATATTGTTTATTACTCTAACTGTGAATGTTTTAATTCTTGATTAGATAGAGTACAAGCAGCCAAGAATGGAAGTATGATTAATTGATTGATCAGTATTGGTTGATTAAAGAAAACCATTTATTGACATAACAGTGATTTCAAACATATAAAAGAAGCATTAGTGACTATTGAATGAGGCTTAATATCTCCCACTAAATTAAAATTTAGCTATTTGCTATTTGGGGAGTAAAGTAAGCTCCCTCATCTGAACATATTTCCCAACTTGTTTTCTTTTCCTTAAAAAAAAAAAAGTCCTGGGATTGCTAGTACCAATGAACTGACCTTGCTTGCCTCAATTTCAGGAACGCAAAAGTTTGAGGAAATCCCTACCTACAACAAAGCTGCAATGACTCCAAACACTCAGTGGGTTACAGAAGGGAAGAACCAGGGATCACAGACTGAAAAGCTGAGTGTACCATCATTTACCTTGCCTCAAGTTGTACCTGGCAGCAGTACCCCCAGTGCAAGCAGCAACAGCAGCTGTTCCACCGTAAGAAAGAACTTTTCACTGACATCTAGCAGCATTGCCAGCTTTGAAGTGTGGGTGTGGGGGGGGGGGTTACCAGCACTAACTGGATTATGGTAGAAACATTAAAAAAAAAAAAAGGAATTGCTTCCAGCTGCCTTTATCCACTGAAACCAAAACCAATATCAGAGGCTAATGGTGACTGAGATTAGTTTGGTATAATCCTACTTCATTTAAAACATGAAAATGAGAGAAAAGAAATGACATTCTCAGAGAATGCATCAACGTTTCGACGAAGTCCCATTCGTCATCTTCAGGCTGGTGTTTTCAGCTTCGTGCTTTGAGCAGCAATCTGTGGTCTTAGCTGTTTCTTCCTTTTAACTGCCAGTGGGGGTATGAACTGATTGGGTGGGAGCTTGGCTGTGTTCTGATTGGGTGGAGGTGTGTTCTGAATGGTTAGGGGCTTGGCTGTTCTCTGATTGGCTGGGGGAGTGTTCTGTTTGGTTGTGCTCGGGTTAGTCTGAGTTGCAGAGGGGTTTGAGATTTTGGGCTGCCTTGCTATTTTTGGCTTCGCGTTCGTGGTCGTGCTTCCTCTTCATGGAGGGTGTCAGTTTGCTTCATGTATGGATTGGAGGGGTTTAAAGTGGCTAATGATGCAGCTGTGGTCTGGCTTCTGGTTTGTGGTCGTGCCTCGTCATCGGTGTGGCTTTGGGTTTGTTTTTTGCATGGATGTGTGGTGGTGACCTTCTGTGTGGTTTTTGTGAGTGTGGGTCTGGTATCATTTTTTTTCCCTAACACAAAATATATATATATATTGGAAAATTGGCATAAAAATACGACTCCTGGGCATGTCTATGGCAGCTTTTAGTAAAGTATATTTTTATATTTATACTCTCCTGGTGTTCGTATTTTATTTGTACCATATATATATATATATATATATATATATATATATATATATATATATATATATATATATATATATATAATATTGAGTTCAGTGCTAGAAGAATGAGGAACCATTGTCAGAATTGTGGGGAAACAAATCTACAAGTAATCCTTGACTTACAACTACAGTTGGGACAGGAATTTCCATTGTTAAGTGATGTGGTTGTTAAGTGACTTAATATTTTAATGTTTTGTTTTAATCGTTGCTCTGCATGTCAGGACTATACTGTAGCCCTAAACAAACTTACCTAGCAATAAGTTCCTTTGAAGCAAGAGAAAGCCTGGACCTACTCTTGGTTAAAAAGATACTGTGGTTTAATACTTCTCCCAGATTTATGACATGTAAATACATCTGTAACCACACTGTATTTCACAAATGTTGGCCAGCAGGAAAACAAATATAGTCATCATTTCCTGAATTTTTTTTCAACTTCTTTAATATAGACCTGACTTCTTGGATTATGACCCAGTGCTCATCCTTTTTCCAGCAATAGGCTGCTACTGCTGAAAGAGGTTTTTTTTTTCCTAATCCTGCATCTCCTATGTCTCCTAAATACGGCCCTGACTATTGGGACACTACTTGAAATATTTTTAGATGAGAGGCATGCAGCAATGCCAAGAAAAGGAATCAGTTTCAGGAAATTATCCATGTTGGCCCTGTCTTTTCTTCCCAATGTTTCATTCTATGCAGCTAACTGCTTTATGGCCATTTTTGTACTTGTTGATAGTCTGTTTTCTCATTTCATCCTAAAGCCAAGTAGCCCAGGAGATTATTACACTTCTTTAGATGAAGACCTGAAGATAGAGATGATTGAGAAACTTTTTGCCATGGACACAGATGCCAAGAATCAATGCAGTTCACAGGTAAGAGAAGCCATGAATAAAGCATCAAGCCAAAACTCAGAAGAGCATGTTGTTTCAGTTCTTTATATGCAGACTTAAGAGTCAGTAGCTACTGCTCATATTCATAAGAATGGGAAGCTTATATAGTGCACGGGTTCTGCATTAATGTGAGAGATATAATGGAAAAATCATTTCCATTTCCCTGGACTGGGCTTTTCAATCTGGCAATGTCAGGCTAGGGGCACTTTATATAACATATTTGACAGATGCTAAGTAAGCAATGGTTGCTTAAGATGTGCTGGACTACAACTTCCATCATTCTCAGTCATTGTTCTATAGTATTGTACTCTAAAATATGCCTGGCTGAGGAATTCTGGGAGTTGAAGTCCACAAGTCATAAAAGGGCCAGGTTTGAAGACCCCTGATTTAGATGGCTGAGGAATTTGGTTTAAAAGGAAAATTACAAAGCCATATGCTACATGGATTAAGGCATACTCTGCCTTAGATATTGTTCTGGGACAGGAGAGAAGAGAGGGACTCTAGCTTTCTAGTTTTAAATTGGAAATTTGTTTTTCTTCACTGCCCCACCCCTTTAATCTTTTCATTGGACAGAGTGACTTTAATGAACTGGATCTTGAAACTTTGGCTCCTTATATTCCCATGGATGGAGAAGATTTCCAGCTGAGCCCTATCTGTCAAGAGGAGCGTCCTCTGTGTGAAAGTGTCCAGCTTCCTCAGCCCAGCTTAAGCAACATGAACAGTCTTTTCCAACCACTTTCTCCTTCTTCCCAAAGCGAGTTCCTCCTAGAGAAATATTGCCAGCCAGTATCTGACAAAAACATGCCAGCAGGCCAAGGGACTCTGCCACTGGCATTCTTCAATCATGGAAGTCAATCATCCTCATTCTTGCTGCCCTACTATGCACAAGCCAACACTCCACTGTCTTCAATGGGTGGGAGACCAAATACACAGTGGCCACCTGACCCACCATTACAGTATGTGCCAACAAAATGGAGAGGAATCAGCAATAAGTCGTTAATAAACTCTGCATCAGACCCTCCATCACTGCATTTGCCCAACATAAGCACAGATAAGAAAAGGTAATTCAACACAGAAAATTATTTTAAAAATAATAAACAAAAGCAGTTTAAAAATAATGGCTAGATTTTTCATTTTCCACATGTGTGCATGGTTGTGGAGGCAAGTGGTTGAATGAAAAAGAAGAAATAGAAAATGCAATATGTGTGAACTTCCAAACAGGAACATCATCAAAGCTTGTTATCATATAAAAATAGAAAGTTGCCAGCAAAAGCATTTGTCAAAGGTGGCAAAAAGGTCATGGTTTTGTATGCCTATTTTTAAAGAAGTTATCAGAGCTACAAATAAAAAGATTGTGTGCTAGGAGGTGAAAATGACTTCATGGCACATAATCATATCTCTTCATTTTAAAAAAATACATTTAAAAATGTTCACATACTGTGAGAGTATTTGCACAGAATATGTGTAAAATGCTTTTTCTAATCACTGCAGCTAAGCAAGGATTCTGCTTCTTTCATTAGAGCCATCTCCAAAGTGTTTATCCACCCATCCACCTGAAGTCCTCTCTTGGCTTCAGAGGAGCTTAGTATACATTTCTATCTTCAAACCATCTGAAATGTTAAGTCCTTCCCTCCAGCATACCAAAATGTGGGGGAGGAGTACAAAAAATGTATTTCATGTTCCCACCATCCCTTTTGTGGCTTCCAGGAACCTTACAGACTAAATACTGTTTAGGAAATCTGCTCCAGTTGCACCTGAGAAACTTAAGGGGCAAGAATTCCAAACCCACCTGTGTCTTGTCAACTTATGGAATGAGGCACTCAAGACACAAGGAAACTGAGTATCCTTAATAGTGGTTAAGGAATTGGAGAAGGACTGAGGAGACTTAGGTTATCAATAGTAGTGGGTTACTTTGGGCTAGTCACTTTTTCTTAGTTTAACCAGCCTCCACAATATTGTTGTAGAAAAAAAATGGAAAGAAATTTTATATATGTTACCTGGAGTTTCTGACCAAGAACAATATATAAATCTGACAAATAAAATTATAATTAAAATAATAAATGGTTAGTACAACCAATAGGGAAGGGATCCATATGATTGGCTTTGTCCATGAGGGGGTGGTTTTCAAGCAACTCCCAGACCACCATTTATCTTTGCACAATTTATTAACTTTAGAGATAAACAAACTGCTAATGTTGACTTCAGGTATCAATGAGTGAATGTCTGTGGCGCAAGCTAGTGATTTGCCCACAGCAGAGAGTAAACAGTACTTAGGCAATAGAAACTAACTGCAAAAACAATTGTTGAGCAATAGTTAAATAAAGTGCTATTATCAATTTGCACAGCTCACTCTGTTCTTTCCATTTCAGCTTTCTGATAAGAGATTTTACAGAAATAATGTTTCAATTTTTATTAACATTGACACATCTTCTTAATGTTTAGTATTTATTAATGTTTATCATTGTACCAGTGATGTGTCTCATAGCTGTTCTCAACTACTAGCCACTTTTGTCTTAGTAAAAATATTCTGCAAGCTTCTGTTGCAACCATTGGTCTAGGAACAGATCTGAAAAAGGAAAGATTTCTGCACACCAACATGACACATTTCTCTGCATTAAAATAAAGCTTGTTTCAATTTAATAAAAAAATAATGGTTTGTTTTGATAGATCACTGGAAAGTTTTGGACAGCGTGGCATAGATATAAATCCAGCCCGAATAGCTCTTGCCAACAGTCTGAAGTTGAAGCGGCAGTTAAATTATGAGGACCAAACATTTCAACATCTGAATGGGGTAAATTTATTATGTCAGATCACTATACTTTTCCTTTCATGGTTTTAAACAGAAGACTCATTATTTAAATACAAGTTTCATTATGTCTTAATGTTTTGCCTTACCTACCATAGACACAAGATGACATATCTGGCCTTAATCCAACCCACTTAATGTTGAAAAGAATGAAAATTCTCACAAGTGAAAACTTTGCATTGCTTTCAGAAAAGAAGTCACTCAGCACAAGTGTCCTTAATGGTAAGAATTTTCATAAATTGGTAATATAGCAATAGCACTTAGACTTATATACCACCCCATAATACTTTACAGCAATCTCTTATCAGTTTACAAATGCCAGCATATTGCCTCCAACAATCTGGGTCCTCATTTTACCAATCTCAGAAGGATGGAAGGCTGAGTCAACCTTGAACTGGTCAGGATCGAATTCCTGGCTATGGGCAGAGTTAGCCTGCAATACTACATTCTAACCACTCTGCCACCAGGGTTTATATATGACCAAAAGGAAACACACATGGCGGGATAGGTCACTCTTTGGTGGCTGTGAGCAGAATATCAAAAAATATGCAAAAGAGCTATCTACATATCTTTCATATTTACCCAATTCTGTGCTACCTTGTCTATGCTCTGCTTTATCATTTTTAAAAGTAACGGTTCTGCTGCATAAGCGTAGTGGACAATCTTATCTAGTGTCATTTCACACAGTGGCCATTCAGATACTTCTAAGAACTCTACAGGCAAGTCAAATGACAATATCCAACAGTGGTTTCTGTAATTCAGAACCAATCAGCAGAACCAACCAGCCATCCAGGAGTCATCCAGCAAATCTAAGTGGTATGAAATTCTGGATGGACAGGGGAAAAAAATCTTTTTCACACAACTCATGATTAAAATATATTGTTGATCACCATGAGATATGAGGTTGATTCATAATTTAAATGTCTTAAAAAGAAGCTTAGACAAATGCATAACGGCCACTAGCTATACATCAGCTATTTACCTCCTCTAGATCAGAAGAGACACGTCAGTCATAATAATACCATATATGCCGCCGTATTAGGCGACCCGGCGTATAAGACGACCCCCGTCTTTATAGCCGGGCCGCATTCCTAGAACGTCGTCTTATACGCCGGAAACTACCAGTATTTCCGGTGTATAAGACGACTCGGCGTATAAGACGACCCCCGTCTTTGGCGCCGATTTCAGCGCTTGCGGAAGTCATCTTATACGCCGGCATTTATGGTAATAATAAATCCAAAGCCCTTACATCCTACCTACTTTTCACTATCATATATTCACTGTCAAAATACCTGTAGGTTTTTCAGCTATCTTTCAGTGACTTTTGGCAAGAGTAAGAGTATCTCTATATTATATATGAATGAAAACTGAGTGCATAAATTAATTTTTAATATCTAATCTGTTCATGTTTATACATAGCTTCATCTTCCATTATTGCCTATTATATGTATGCACAAACTAGTTCTAACCTTGAAAAATCTTTGTAACTTAACATATGAACTGATGTTCACCATTAAATTGACTCTAGCGGCTGCTTAATTTCTTTCTGCAGATGTTTGCAATCTGGAAAGTATCCATAGAAAATAATTCATCATTTCTGAAATTGCCTTAGAAAAACATGGTACTTTTATCTGCCACCACCACCATCACCACACACAAATACTTTTCCAGGCAAAATATAAATTTGGCTATGTGAAGCATTCTGTTTCCAATAGCATTTTTAAAGCCAGTTTTTAACTTTGTAATTATAGATAAGTTCCTTTGTAACCTACAAAGATGCCCAGGCCAGCCAGTGCATGTGATGCAGCAACAACAGCAGCAAGATCTACCACTGTCCTCTGGCAACTCTGCAAATAATCCCAAAGCTGTGTATTCTCCGCCTTTTTACAAAACCCCTTATCAGGACTTCAGTGTATCACAAGCTCATAGGATGTCAGGTAAGTGTCATGTCAAATTTAGAAAGGTTATATTCAATAATGAAATTTTTACTTTTAATAAAGATAAGAGTGCTTTAAATCAGCTCCTTTAGTGGGTGGGGTAGGCTCTTACTGTGAGATGTTGAAAGTGATCTAACCTCTAAAGAAGACATGTCAAATTGCCGGCCCGCAGGCTGAAAGCATCACACCGAAACCGCGCCCACCCCATCGCCAGCAATGGGGAAAAAGTCCCGTATGTCACGTGATGTCATTTGACATCGTGAGTTTGACATACCTGCTCTAAAGTGAGGAGGTACTGTGATCAATCTGCTCAACAAATGAGTTGAAGTTTTTTCCATAAAGTCTCATATAAGTAAAGCTCATTTGCTAAGATCCTCATGGACCTGGTACTTTTTTTGGCAGAAATATGGAAGTGGTTTGCCATTACTACCTTCTGGAATATTTTTTTCTTCCCACTTCCCATAAATATTCTATTCTATTTATTGTATTATTATTTTTATTTATATCCCACCTTATTATTTTTACAAATAACTCAAGGCGACAAACTCATCTAATCCTCCACCCTCCTCCTATTATTCCTCACAACAGTCTTGTGAGGTGAGTTGGGCTGAGAATGATTGGCCCAAGATCACTCAGCTGGTTCTCATGGCTAAGGTGAGACTTGAGCTCATAGTCTCTTGCTTTCTAGCCTGGTGGCCCAGTGGTTAGAATGCATTACCTCAGGCTAATTCTGCTGCCAGCAGTTCAGCAGGTTGACTCAGTCTTCCATCCTTCCGAGGTTGGTAAAATGAGGACCCAGATTGTTGGGGGCAATATGCTGACTCTGTAAACCCCTTAGAGAGGGCTGTTAAGCACTATGAAGCAGTAAATAAGTCTAAGTGCTAACTACTAGACCAGGCTGTCTCTTTTAATTTTAATTAATCTCTCTTACTTAATAAACTGGCTGTAGGAAAGTCTATATAATGGTTGATATAAGCCAAAAACAGCATTGTTTTGTAAATAAACAGAGGTGCTAGAGAACTGGAGAAGAATAAATAAATCTTTAAGAAATTGGAAAAGGGGGATAATAATTGTTTTTTTCAAAAGGCAGCTGGAGTTTTTATTTTCACTTCTCATCCAAGAAGCTTCTTCAGTTCTGACTGAATGGTGGGAATGGAAAGATTTATATTCCTTGCATAGAACAGAATAGAGATGAAAGATACCTTGGAGGTCTTCTAGTCCAGCCACCTGCTCAAGCATAGATAGTTTATATTCCTGAATGCCCACCATTCAGTCAAATCCTTCCATTTCCAGCATTCAGCTGCCTTTTGAAAAAGCAACTTTGGGGAAACATGACCTGGATGAATGAGAATCTCCATAGACAATGAGCCTACAGTAATGTTAACTAGAGAAATATTAAAATAGGTAGTAAACCATTCACCTAACATTTGAATCTAAAAGCAGTTTCCAGACTCTTAATAGTTCTAACTTTTACAATAATTTTAACTTTGTGCCTCTGACTTCTTTGCTCATTTATTATGTCCTTTAATTCCTATTTAATTAGCTATAAGAATATCACTTCACCTTTGGAGGTGTAAATGTGTTTTTGTTTCTTGCTTGGGTTTTAAATTTTTATAGTTTTTATAGCCTTTTTTGTATACTTCTATTGTACTAGTGTGACTTTTTTAAAGTTCAACACTGCTGCTAAGACTCTTTGGGGATGGAATATATTTTCTGTATTTTTTTATTTTTATTTTATTTTTTGCCCCTCAGGAATTGCAAGTCGTCTGCTCGGGCCCTCTTTTGAACCTTATTTGTTGCCAGAATTGACCCGATATGACTGTGAGGTTAACGTCCCGGTGATGGGCAGTTCGACGCTTCTGCAGGGAGGTGACTTGCTTCAAGCTCTTGACCAAGCCACTTGAGCAAATCTGGGTGCCCTCCCACCCCCGGGGCTGATTCTGTTCCAAGCAGTTGCAGTTTTAAAATATATTTTTGCAAGTAGACAATTTCTAATACCAATTTACATTTTACAAGATTTTACTTACTTGTTGAACGTGTCCACTTTACCAAATAGTGGCCTTTCTGAAAAGTTAACTCACTTTCTTATTTGCTTTAAAAGAAGTATGCATCTACTGTATTTTTTCCTTTTATTCCAATAAAGTGTTCCTTAGAAAATTTATATTATATTATTCCCCTTTGCCCTGTGTAATTTATATGTTCTGAAATTTCCTCAATATTCATGCTAATTAAAAAAAAAGAAGGCTTTGCGTGTGTTATTGCCTGTATGTAATACTTTGGCTCAATTTATTGCAACTGTGTCATTTTTTTTGCCAAAGATGAAGTGAAATATTTTTTTCCCTGACGGTAGTCAGCACTACCTTATTCAAACTGAGGACCTATATGGCCATTGCCAACCTATTTCTTAAATTTTGTACTGTGGAAAAGAATGCACACTTCAATCTTTTTACAAATCCAAAAAGAAGACATAAATTTGCGTTAATTCTAGGAGTTAGCTGCTGTGTTGCCTAATTTCTGTGAAAATAACAAATTGTAGTCTAATTTAACATTTGGGTCAGCGTACTCATTTAAAACTGAATGTTCTGGTAATGCAAACAATGGTTTGCAATAGTATGCAAAGGCTATGCATATCAAGAACAGAAAATGAAGTAAATGTGAAAATGGATCGTTTTGTTCCTGCTTCCTCTGTAAACAGCAAATTATCTTAAAGTGCACTCATAGATCATGCAGCGTGGAGGCTTGGCTTCAGAGCTTATCCTGACTTAGCTTTAAAGATGGATGCTTTTTCCTGTTGTGTATTGAAGAGCCAAAGCTATCTGGCCAATCCCTGCCATGGATTTAAACACTATGAAAGTGCCTTCCTCACCTGATCTTAAGAGAACTCCTACAATTCAATGTTTTCCTAAATTAAAATAGATGGGAAAGTTGGTGACATTTTAGGATTTAAGCATGTATTTTGGAAAAGAATCCAAAACAATGGAACTATTGCATTCTATCTCATTTAGATCAAAATTAACTCTGCGAAATCTGTCTAATTAAGTCAAGAATTTAAAAGAGAATTGGGGATAATCATAAAAAATACCAATCACCTATATTATTGAATATGTTTCAATTCCCTAATGTATTAACCCAACCACTATGCTGATTTGATACTTTTGTCTGGGTTAAATATTTATCACATACCGGAATTTTGTACTATCTTTTAAGATAGAGGCACAATTATGAATGCTTCTTTGGAATCCTTTTCTCCAGTTCCATCATTTTGTTATGCCATGACAGGAATTGTCTAAAGATTATCATTAACACTGCTAACTGCCAGTTAAATTGGATGTTGCTGTTTAGGCTTTTGTTTTTTTCTTCTCGGTTAACTAGCCACATCCTTCACACTACCAATTTGTATTGAGAAATAAATACATTTGCTTGCTTACTTACTATGCTATAGAAAGAGTTCTAGACTCTGGTGTAATTGAGATTTTTGTCACTTTTTTTAGTATACCTTAATGTTGATAGCCTTTCCACACAAATAATATTTTAGTAGGTTTTGAAAAGACCATTCTGAACTTTCAGAAACACTATAAGAAAACATGTTGGTGCTCAGGAATTTATTTAAATAGAAAGAGTCCATTTCATTCCATGGAGTCCTGTTTGCCTTTACTGGGTAAACAGGAACAGCTGTATATTCAATTCAGTAATAATATAAGCTCAAGGAATTCAGCTGATTTAAAAGTATTTATTAAAACCATAGAACAGATGTGCACAACCTGAGACCCTAAGGTCTTATCTGGCCCCAAAAGCTTTGGACCAACCCTTAGAGACCTCCAAAAGTTAATACCAAACTGCAATATTTAATGAGACAAAGTAAAGTTATTAAATGTGCAAAAGGAGATCAGTTGTGTTTATTATTTTAATTTGAATTCGGTTTAGATGTAAATGAAATGACATCATATTGGAGAGCTGCCGCCAGCTTGCCCAAGGTTCAGTGTGATGCTTGGCACAGAAAAAATTGCACACCCTTACCTTTGAATTTTAGAATAAGCTTTAGAAGGCCAAGGTAGAGTCAGAGAATCAGGAAATGTAGTAATGTTACCTGATGCTGAAGTCTCACCTGCTTAGATGATTATCTGGTGTAAATTAACACCAATTGAAATTTTAAAAAACAGAGACTTCTCTTAGAGTGAAACTGGTTTCATTGGAGAATGCGTTATGGGGGAACACTCCAGAGCAAATTGTTGGAAAGGGTGAGTACTAAGGAGTACCTAGGGGAAAAAATCAGAGAAAAAAAACCCTGTTGTATAGGTGGAAGTGTACTTAGATGGTATTAATTTCCACTCTTAGAAATTAAAACAGTGTTACTATATTCCTCCTCATGTTCATTGCCCTCATCAGACAAGTGTGTTAGTGTTTAAGGCTCATTAAAGATAGTAGGATTCAAGATGTAACCAAGCTTTCCTCAGTCCTATTTATTATCTTGACTACCTTTTGAAGGGGGAAAGGAGAGTTTCAGGCCTATATTTATTTGTGGTTTATACTGCTGAAGTGCCTTAAATCACTTAGTCCATAGTTGCTACAAATATGGCTCCTATTCTTCCATACATGAGAAATATAAAACTCTGCTAGAACTTTGCATGTTCTTCATTGAAGATATTAATGGAGTCCTTGTAAACCCAAGCAGTTGTCTGTCTGCCTTACATTGCAGTTTTGACAAAAATCAATGTTCCATCTAGCCAAAGCTAAGTTAATAGAAAAAGGAAAAACAGATTAAATGTGATGTAAATAGAGTTTGCTTGCATTTTTGGAAAAGAGTTTTTCAAACTAGATAAACTCATGAAGGAAGTTGTTTGCAGAAAGATTTTAGAGTGAAAGTATTTAGGAATGAGATCTGCTCAGGGATCTTTGTTTTTTAAAAAAAATGATTACAATTTTGTTTATTGATTCAACATCTCCACAATGAATGGAAAAAAAGGCTCAGAAATGCTATAAATTTGCCCTGGTTCTTTTTGTTCCATGGCATAATCTCTCTAGAAATACTCATATTCAGGAGGTAATTCTGGTCCCCAAGTTAGGATTTTCATTATTTTTCAGCAGCTCACTACATTGTACCAAGGGCAAGTACTTATGAAAAAGAGAAAGATCTGGAAGACGTCTTCCACTCAAGATGTTAGCCTTAACATTCTGCCTCTTGATGATTAGTATCTTCAGGTGAGGTTATATAAGGCAGAGGGAAAATTGGGGCCAGTCGAAGCAATCTTTACAGCAAAGGATAAAGAGGTATAGAACTCTCCCAATTCCAGAAATTGTTCAGACTGAGAATTGAATCTTCTTCAGAACTGATAACATGAATGTCCTCTATCTCATCTAAAAGTAGCAACCTAAATTAGAAATTATTAAGCAGACTGTCCAAAGACAAAATATGGCACATGCCCCTAAAAAAAATGCATACTCTAGGTCAGGGGTGTCAAACTGCCGGCCCACATTCCGGAGACGTCATCGCAAAAACGCACCCACCCCATTGCCAGCAATGGCAAAAAAGTTCCGATACGTAGCGCGACGTCACGTAACGTCGCAAGTTTAACATGTCTGCTCTAGGTTCACATGAAGTACAAACCCAGCCATCAAATATAATTCTATACCTAAATGATAGTAAGCCCTGCTGAAAGAAAAGGCATAATTTTGGAAAGACATGTATAAATTTGCATTTCCAAGTATTTGCCTAAAAACCATGTAAATTTCAGGAAGAATCTCTCAAAGGGTAGCCATCATAATATACCCTTTTTCAACTTGGTGCTTTCTGGTGTTGATTGCAATGTTAAAAATACAGAACCCACTGTACTTTATATCAGGAGGATATCATGTGGAGGAAGACTGTGATGATACTTTCACAACTAATTAAAATATGGCATAATTTCAGATCTGCAGGAAGAGTGTTTTATCAGAATATTGTATTTAAAAATTAGGACTTATGAAGCATTAAAGCATTGTGTGTGTGTGTGTGTGTGTGTGTGTGTGTGTGTGTGTGTGTGTGTGTGTGTGTAATATGCGCAATGGATTACAGCTTCAAATAAAATACATTTAGCGGCAAATTTGATTTGCTTAATGTGACTCTCATATATGAGTTTTGATTGGCTCCGATTGTCAGTTATCATAATAAAGTTTTAATTTTGGAAGAAACACATTAAAAATATCCATATTAAGCTGCTAATCTCAAATAGTTCACTTTAAATGATCCACTGATTTGCAGTGACATCTCTGGAGCTAAAGTGGCTTGAAGCCTGTGGTTGCAGCAAAACAGATCTCTTTGTGATAATGAGCTATGTGCCTGAATGGCACTCATATATTGCTATTTCATTTTTATTTGTAGTTTCAACATTCAAGTGTTTACTCTAACCCTTTACCAAAAATATACTGAGAGAGAGGGAGACCATGCTTATAATATTAACCCTAACTATTGTCATAATTATTTCATGTTCTCTCTATTGTTGATAATCTTGTAACTGTATGGCAACTTTTAACAATAAAGAAATGTATTTTCACACTGATATCTTATTAAAAATTACTGATCCTTCCATGTCTTGTGACTGTTGATTCTGGCAAAACAAACATCAATGGAAAATATCTTTGTGAAGTGCAAATATTTATTAAATTGTTTATAGGAATTAAGGTTTGCAATTATCTTTAAATGCATATACAAAAAAATGCCATCTTGCTAGCTAATCAAAAAAAGTACACTCAGAGAACTTTAAAATAAATCTTGTTTCATGTCTTATTTATTTATTCTTTATAAAATTTATAAATTTTATGTTAGGATAGAATAATGCTTTTTTAAGTGGCTTGAAATTTTCCATTAAACAACATCCATACAAATAACATATAACTGTTTACATTCCTTGATCTGCTCTTCCACGTTAAAAATATATTCCCCAGCAAATTCCTCCTGCTGCTCCTCCTGATCTCTTCCTCCTTCCCCCTGTTCACTGATAAGGACATTGTTATAATGTTCAGACAGAATTTCAAGTACATGTTTTACAGATAACTGAACGAAATTATTAACATTCCACAGTATTAGAAATTCATTTCAAATTCATTTCAATTTTCTTTTTATTTAATAAGACATTCTAATTTTTTTTAAGAAACGGGTATGGCACCAACAATCACATATATTGTCTACTTATATTATTGGATATTTGCAACTGATCCTGCCATTTGTACCAGATTCAGTGTTAAGTGCAGTTGGTTATTTCTCTACCACATTTCTATGCTGCTCTTCCTCAACGAAGCCCAAGGTCTGCCTGTGCAGGCATGTAAGGACAAGTGTCTTGTATGGCTGAAAAGTTTTTCATAATAACTCCAAATAGTAACATACCAAGTAAGTTACCTGGACTTGCATGATATTAACCATAATGGAAGATTTGGCACTTTTTTGACAGTTATTAATGTACTAAATCATATTTCATTTCCACTGTTTTTCATTTTTGTTTTTAATTATATAGAGAGAGGGTTTGACTTTTTCTAATAGGTATTCCATTAAAGCATAGATCAGCCACCATGCCCAGTCATGAATGCTAATGGGAGTTGGAAGAGGCACTCATTATCCAGTTCAGATACAAACTGCTGGACCACAGGGTTTTGATTCTATGGACATAAACTAGAAAATTTATTGTGAGAGGAAAAAAACTTGTGCAAGAGGAAAATCCACAATTTCTGTTGACTCTTCTCCAAATTACCCCCCCCCGATGCAAATGCAGGTTTCCTCCAAATTGAATAGATTTTAAAATAACATAAGAAGCTATGATAGGATAAAAGAGATAAACAATAAATCTGATTTCCACTTTTCTGAATAAAAACTATGAATGTAAAGAATAGAATCTTTTTAAAATATTTCTTAAATCGGTAGATAGAATGTTCTGCTTCTCAAAAGCTTATGCATATTTTCTATGGTAGCTCCCTGGATATCTTCCTCTTTAAAAGCTAAATAGCTTCTGTTGAGTCCTTCGCGGAAATGTAAGACACGAGAAGCAGTTGTAGTTCTCAGTTTTCTTTATTCTGCGTTCAGCTTACAAGTAGATGGCTTCTGCAGCTCCCAAAACCTCTCAGCTTCTTATATAGACATTTCCCGGGTCAATGCGATACTTTTCCCGTGCCAGCACCCGTGCATGCGCACGGCGCTGGCGACAGCCTGTCTGGTCCCGGGCAGCTTTGCACCTGCCCGGGACCGCCTGCAAACGCCCCGAGCCGTTTGCAAGGCTCGGGACATAACACCCCTTTCCCCCGAGCTAAAACTACTACCAACATATAATCATTATTTTATACAGTGTTCTGCTTCTCAGTGCTCCTACCGTTACCTGGCTTTTGTTTAGCCAGCAATGTTATGTAATCCTCTAAGTATTTATGAGACTTCCTTGCTCTCTGTGACCTTCTCAGCTCTGGGTTTCTGACAGGTGTTCCCTGACTGAGGGGTGACAAGAGCCTGTTCCCCTTATCATGCCTTGGTGCCTTCCAAGGACTTTGCCCCAATGCCTGGCCTGCTTGCTCGCCCACCGGGCTCGTCAGGCCAGGGCTTCTGTCACTTTGTGACCTGGTTGACCTGCCTAACTGTAGGCCCTCGGGCCCCTTGAAGTGATAGCCACTGCTGGGCGTCTCTATAGAACCTCCTAGGTCCGTCCAAGACCTGTCAGGAGGCTGTCCATTCCCTAAACCCCGTTCTGTGTCCGGGCTCGTGTGGGTTTCTGTACCTTCCCAAAACGCAGTTACTCCCTGATTTGGGCTAGAGGTGTTGCGGTCGGGACTTGGTTCCTCGACCACCTCCCTGTAAGTTTGACCCCCTGTAGGATTAGGGGTAAGGTCAGGCCAACTCTGGGGATTGTGTGCCAGCTCTCTTGCGGGGAATGATTTGTTGGGATGCTCCTGGGTATCCTCCGTGACTGGAGTGTTGTGTGATGTGTGTGGAAAGTGAGTATGCCCCCGGGGTGACTCCCTGGCTGGAGTGGGCGTGAGTGCCTGTTGTGTGGGTAAGCTCCATGAATTCCTTTTCGGAGCACTTGCGGAAGCTTGAAATGGGCCGTCAGTGGCTCCATCAGTGGAGATGGGCAGCAACTCGTGCCCTTCCCTTTGCTCCAAAGGGTCCCCCTCCCCCTGGAAAAGACCCAGGAGTCTCATCTGAAAGGTCCCGCCTAGGGCGAAGTTGGTCGATGTGCCGACGCAGGACACGACCGTTGTCCAGGGCTACCTCGTAGGAGAGAGGACCTGTGACCTTGGAACTAGAAGCGGGGACCCATGTATGACCAGGCCCGTAATTGCGAGCCCAAACCGGGGCACCCACAAGTAGTTGTCTAGGCGCCCTAGGATGTGAGGTAGATGAAGGCAGTCTGTCCGGATGCAACCGGTCAAGTTTAGTAGTAAGTTGACGCCCCCAACGAAGGTCAGCTGGGCTTCTCCCTGTAGAAGTAGACGGTGTGGTGCGATAAGAAAGGAGAAAGTCAGCCAACCTGTGATGCCAGTCCCCATAGGTGAGTCTTTTCAATGCGTCCTTCGTGATGCGCACCATACGTTCAGCCATACCGTTGGTGGACGGGTGGAAGGGTGCAGACGTGGCATGACGAATCATGTTAGCCTGTAAGAAAGCTTGGAATTCTGAGGAAGTAAATTGAGGGCCGTTGTCAGACACGATGACATCTGGGAGCCCGTGTGCAGCAAAAATCCCCCTCAGTACCTGAATAGTCTTTGCAGTGGTGGTGGATGAGACAGGCACAACCTCAAGCCATTTTGAATGGCTGTCAACAAGGACCAAGAAGAACTGGCCCTGAAAGGGCCCAGCGTAGTCAATGTGAACCCTAGACCATGGGGACTGTGTTTCCTCCCATCTATGCACGGGAGCTTGGGGCATCTCTGGGCGAGATCGTTGGCACAGGTGGCATGCATGCACCTTAGCCTCAATATCTTTATCTAAACCAGGCCACCACAAGTGGCTGCGCGCAAGAGCCTTCATACGAACAATGCCAGGATGACCCTCGTGGAGGGATTCTAAGACCCTAGTCCTCATTGAGGTGGGAATGACAACTCTGTTTCCTCAAAGCAGACAACCCTGAGAAAGGGACAGCTCGTTCCTTTTGGACCAGAAACTCTGAAACTCAGGACTAGGGTAGTGCTCAGGCCAACCAGACAAAACCCAGGAACGGACACGTGAAAGTGTGTGATCTGTACCTGTTTCAGCGGCAACATCCCTGGCACTAAGAGGGAGCTCGGGCAAGGCTTGGATTGATAGAATGTTGACAGCTGGCGCAGGGTCAGCTTCTACTACTGGCAGAGGCAATCTACTGAGCATGGCCCATTTCTTTCCCAGGCTTGTGGAGTAAAGAAAAATCATATGCAGACAAAAAAATAGACCACCTAAGCATTCTGGGGGAAATGATCTGGGGAGTCTGCTTACATGTGGTAAACAGTCCCAGCAGAGGCTTATGGTCAGTGAAGACCGTGAAATGCCTGCCATATAGAAAATCGTGGAATTTTTTAATTCCAGCAACAACATCCAGAGCCTCCCTGTCTATCTGAGCGTAGTTGCGCTCGGCAGAAGACAGTGTTCTGGAGTAGTATGCAATAGGAACCTGAGTTCCATCAGACCTGAGGTGACTCAGGACAGCTCCTACCCCGTAAGGGGATGCATCACAAGCAATGCACACAGGAAGGGACTCGTTGAAATGTGCAAGTACACTGTTAGAAGTGAGCAAGGCCTTGACTTTGTTAAAACAAGCCTCATGTGTTTGTGACCAGTGCCACACTGCTTGCTTTTCTAGTAGCCTGTGAAGAGGCTCAGCCACACTGGCTTTATGTGGAAGGAAGGAATTGTAGAAATTCAGGAGGCCCAGGAAGGCCTGAGGTTCGGCCTTAGACTTTGGCCTAGGTGCTTCTAAAATAGCAGTTAGTTTGGATTCAGCAGGGTGAATTCCAGCAGCGTCAATTTTGAACCCCAGAAATTCAGTAGAAGGCACCCCAATCTTGCATTTGTCTTTGTTGAGCTTGAGGCCTGTTTTCCTGAATCTTAACAGAACAGCCCTTAGCCTTTCAGCTAGAATGTGTGTGGAGTCTCCTGCAATTAAGACATCATCAAATTAGGGGCAAACCCCCGGTATGCCCCGTAGTGTGTTTTCCATTACGCTTTGGAAAATCCCAGGAGCGACATTCACTCCAAACTGTAGCCTTTTTACCTTAAAGGCTCCCCTGTGGGTCACAATAGTCTGAGCTATAGCAGCAGCAGCATCAACAGGCAGCTGTTGATACGCTTGAGCTAGGTCAAGCTTTGCAAAAACGCCCCCCCCCTTGGGGGAGGCCAGAATATGACTGACCACAGGAACAGGATAGGCATGTTGCTGCAATGCCTTATTAAGAGTGCATTTGTAATCAGCACAAATGCGAATGTCCCCATTTGCCTTTAGAGGCGTGACAATGGGGTCTCCCAAGGACTGGAATCAACAGGTTCTAGAATTCCCTGTTGGATCAGTTTGTCTAACTCAGTGTCAATTTTACTCTTTAAAGCAAAAGGGACCCTTCTTGCTTTAATTCTAATGGGAGT